GACAAAAAAAAAAAAAAAATCTACAATTCATGAGTTCATTGTTTAAAAATAACAATAATTAGTTAATTACTACTTAATAATTTCACCAAAACAAACTCAAATACATAAGAACAAAAAAAATAAAAATAAATAACTTGTTCCAAAATACAAGTTTATCAAGTCTCATACATCACACTAGATTCATTAGACATAAAAATAACAATTTTTAGACACTCACGCATAATAATAATAATAATAATAATAATAATAATAATAATAATAATAATAATAATAATAATAATAATAATAATAATAATAATAATAATAATAATAATAATAATAATAATTAGGACTTAAGAAATTTTCATGGAATTGCCGAATTGGGACTTGACCTCTGCAACTGGGAGTATGGGGCGATGGGAGTTGGAAAGTGAATAAGTGATAGATGGTGTGTTCCTTGGATTGGTTTGGGCCTATCTTGTGGTGGATTTTGGCCTACGGGTTGGTGTTCCATAATTTTTAATAGCAATGGGCTAAATAATATATCATTATTTTGGGTCTTTATAACTTATATGTATAATATCGGTTTTTGGTTCGGTTCGGTTAACCGAAAGACTATACCTAAACCGAATCGAAACCGAAATATTAAAAAAATGTAAATCGAAAACTGAACCAAATAATCAATTTCGGTTTCGGTCGATAACCAAATTTTTTGTTTCGGTCGGTTTTCAGTCGGTTAACCATATTATGTGTACTCCTAGTGGCCACGGTCCACACCCATAAGTCCCACATCAACAAAGGTTTGAGATTTTATTTATTTATTTATTTATTTTGTTTTGGGTTAACATTGAATGGATTGATGGTTGTTTTGTTGTCATTTTTTACAAGTTGATCAAATTACGTTTTTATGGAATTGAAATTACTATAATGCTAAGTTAAAATCAATATATCTACTTTTGAAATTACACAAGTCACAAAGAAGCAAAAACAATTATTAGAACAAGAGAAAAAAAAAAACAATAGAAATAATAAACTCACGATAGACATACTAAGCTTTTTTTTTTAGTTGATAGACTTTATAATAACAAACAAATATTTATAAATTAAAACAACTAGAATCAGTCGAATTCATCCACCAACTATTAAGTTGAATCTAGAAGAAGGTCTACTATAAAGTAGTCTAAAAGGCTAACAACACCATTAGAAACACAAACTAAAAAATACTAAATACTCTCGCAAGAGGAGACTATAGACTCAAACATTGGAGAATAAGAAACCACAAAAAGCAAAACCAAACACACATAAAGATACATACCAAAACAATAATAAAACATCACATCCTCTAGATAAAGAAAACTAACATTGAGACCACGCCCTAAGGCATAAGCCGCTAACGACTGCCATTCAAAAGGCTACCATCAGCAACTCAAAAGCAACTGCCAACAAATAATGAGGTCAATAGGCCGAGATGATGAAAGAGCAACATATTTAAACCCAACAAACACGAATACTCCATCACATCACATTCTCAAGTTCTTTCACTCCCACTATCTCTTTCTTTATTTTTTCTTTATCCTATCAAATCTCTGTTTCAAACTGAGTGTTGAATTACAATGGAAATCCTACAAACTGAATTGATATGTTTCACTTTTATAATATGAATAAAATCATAAAATTACAACAGAATTTGAATACGGAAAGAGAATAAGCCGAGACGAGAGTTGCTCTTCCACAAGATGAATACGTCCCGTAATGTGCCAACATATTCAAGCGTCTCGTCTCCAAATATACAGCGGCTATGAGTCAAAAATTGTAGCACTTCAGACTTTAGAGCTCCGACGAACTTGAATGGAGTCGAGAACTTATGTATGACGTGCGAAGCTTTTTAGAACTGTAAGTATACAGATGATGCAACGTGTGTTCCTTTTGCAGTTTTACCAAGTACTAGTATTCGACCATGTGCATTTGCACATATGTAAATAAAGTATTGTGAGTTATTTATATGCATATAATGATTAATTATTTTTCTTTTACTTTTTTGCATGCCAAATTTACAAATAAAAAATTTGGAATATTTACTTTTTTTAAAAACAAAAATTGCGTTTATCTGATTGGATGTAATGTATATTTTGGTACGTCTTTTTTTTTGAATTATTTATCATTTATTTAGGAATTTCAAATATGTTTTTAATTTTCAAAAAAATATTAATTTAAACGTAACCACAATAATAACATCTAATCACATTGTACGATCAACTCATTATATGGTCAACTGTCACTAATAAAAAGCTTAAAATAATTTTTGTAATTTTGAAGTGATTAGTATTGATTATTTAATAATTAAATGAAAGATTAAATACATAAAAAAGTAACAGTTTTTGGAGGGAAAAGTATTAAATTGCCACATAGGTAAAATTAATTAGGTTTTATTAAATGCTATTGGCTAGTAATTATATATATATATATATATATATATTTATAGATTATTTATAGGACTTTCAACCAAGTAAGGGATACCTATGGTCATCAGCCAATTAAGATATGTAATAATCTACTTCTGATCATTGTAACTAGGGGTGAGCAAAACCGAGCCGAAACTGAAAAATCGAACCGCACCGATGTATTCGGTGCGGTTTATTTTTTAAGGGTTTGGTTTTCGGTGCAGTTAAAATTTTGAAAAACCGCATAACATTCCGGCGCAGTTCGGTTTTTTGTCCGAATGATGCGGTTTTACTGAACCGCGTATGAAATATGTTAATATGTTTGTATTGTACATATACATGCTCATTTTGTACCTTTGGTTTAGATGACTAACATTAACAATAAATAAGTAAAGTAATAAATAATATAGAAATGAAAAGATAACTAATAAAAGACAGTAATGTTCACCTACCCACAGTGGGGCACATGTTAATATACCCACCGTTTATGTGGTATGCATACATTGATGATGTATTTTTTTGAACATATTAACATCACCAATGTGTACATACCACATAAACGGTGGACATATATTATGTGCCTAGCGTTGCTAGTGGAGCATTATCCAAATGAAATAAAACTAAAAACAACGGAAAGATGAAACAAATTTTACTGGTTTAAGGTAAAGGAAAAAGATATGGCTGGGCTGCCAGACAGAAGGACCAACAGTGAGAGAGAGAGAGAGAGAGAGCGACAAAAAAGATGGAGAATAAGATTTGTTCAACAAGGACGAGAAGTCATCATCTTCACACTTTTTTCCTCCAATCTCTCCTCACACCAACACCTATTCCAACCAATGGAATTGGAATCCTTTTTTTGCTTAACCAAAACGACAATATCATCATCAACTACAACTCTTCTACCAACACCATCAATTATTGCTCCCACCATCCATTTTCCCCATTCATCTTGACCCAAACCCCAAAATTTTTCCTTGTGATTTCATTTTCCCGATCGGCGGAGCTGATTTTGGTGAGTATGATTTGTTTGAATGGTGTGATTTGTTCCCAGACAGAATATGATTTGTTTGAATGGTGTGATTTGTTCTATTTATTAGTTGATTCACTGTGTTGAAGCTTATTTTAAGGAAATGCTGTGTTTTTCTGGAGTTTTTAGAATCGGTGTTATAATGGGGATCCTGTGTTGATTTCGTGATCGTTCTCAGTTTGTTGTGCTGGATACTGACTCAAAGAAAAAAAAAAGGACAAAAATTTTATTGTATCAACTATTGCTATGACTTTTGATCACATTCCTCGAGTTATATAAGACTGTTTGTTCGTCTGGGTCATGTATACCACCTTCATTTACTTTCTTTTCCTGCTAACAGTTTCTTGTTTTTGGCCATCGAGAATCAAGATGGATATTTCATTTTGTAAGATTGCTTGAATTTGATGCATTAGAACATGGTTTTCAGGAAGATGTTGGGTAATGTTAAATTCTCTGGTTCCATGGTGGATGATAGAACCCAACTTGATAACGCGAGGTTGACTGAGCTTCAGTTCATTCGACAAGGTAAGACTCTGGCCATACATGTATTGAGCTTTGGAGTGCTTTCCGTTTTCTCTTCTAAATATTGAATGCCTTAATGCTTAGTGATGTTGCTCTGGTTCTTGGAATTCAGTTATCTTATCTTGTAGGTTACTGTCACCTGCAGAGTACTACCTTATCAGAAATATGATTTTATCCTATAACACTGCAATTTCTAAATTCAAATGTTGAAGTTAAAACAAGTGTTAGAATCTTCTGTTTGATTGTAACGTCATCTACACATTACCGAGTTGATATCTCTGTCACAGCTTGCCATTTAGATTGCCTGCGTTTTTTGTTAGAAATCAAACTCGATCCTTTATATGTTAGTCTACTTATCTGAAGCTTGCCAAAATGGAACATTGGAGATCGTACAGCATGTACCAAGGTTTTAATTATAAATGTGTACTTGCTTTTTGGTTCATGGTCCAATCCATAAAGTAAAAGCTTGAACTCGAATTAATAGCTTGTTGTGAGATATTCGAGCTTAGGCTTGGTTCAAGGTCAGAGTTTAGATTCTGGGTGGCCAGAGGCTGCAAAGTATGAAATTCGTAGAGTTGTTTAGGTTGATAACTTCAAAAACAATTAATTTAGGTCCCAAGTGAAGGAAATACTTAAGATCATTTGGGAAATTTGTTTTCCCATTTTAAGGGTGTTTGTTTTCTTGACTTGCGGTACGAAGACACTGATAAGTAAGTGAAACTGGAAATTACCTCATCCAGTTGGAAAAGTTAATCCGAATATTTGCCTTTTAATATATAATGTAAAAGTAACATCATTTTCCTATTATTTCTTATTCATGCATGATGTTACAGTTCCAATCCAGCCTGGCACTGCCATTGCCGCTGGAAACTATGTGGCAAACGAGCAGCCACATACGGCTAGTCGCCCTATCAAACGGTTGAGGGAAGGTGAACTTGTAAATGCACCCCAAAAGCTTCGGGTTTCTCTGCATCATAATGATAATCAAGACAAACACGGCCATATTGGAGCTTCTCCGAATGCGAATCTCATGTCAACTGGGCTTAAACTTTTTTCTGAGAAAAAAGAGCTTAGTTCATCTGTTAGTTCTACGTACGAAAATATAAGAAATGCCCTTCCAGGTGTTCTTTCACTTGGTAATTCTATTACAATGGAGATTGATCGGCAGACGGAAGAATTCTGCCAATACATCAAACTTCAGGTGTAGTTGTGAACTTTATTTTTTCAAATGAGCTTTGTGATACAACGATTTACTTCCACAGTGTAGTGCTATAGCCAGCTCTTGGCTAAAAATTGTTGAAATTGATGAGAAATGAAGAAAGAAAGAATGATTAATTAATGTTTTCAAATGCATTTTTTGCGTAGCTTTTTACAGTTCAATCAGAAAATACGGAGGAAAGAGTGTTGCAGGGTTTTGTAAATTTTGGATATTGATTAGAAATTTGCACACAAATTAACACACATTTGCTGCTTATTTAGTAAGTTTTAGAACTTTTGCTTTAGTTAATGATTCTATGGTAGTGGAAAGTGAAGTAGTTGAGAATCAATAGCTAGTAATATTTGCAAATAGAAGCTGAAAAATTGATTGATTTATGAGAGAGTGATTGGTTCTGAAATATTAAAGTACGCTGTAGTATAAATCAAACTAATAGTTTATACTGCACTAGATCCTTTTATCCAAAAGTGGATGTTTAGCAATCATATCATAATTTACCTCAAGTTCTGTTTGTATCCTCAAGTTCCGAGTTAACTTGCATGAGCAGGAAGAGAACATCTTGAAAGGCGGACAAGACTTATATCAGAGGCAAATGATTTCCCTGTTCAACGCCTTGGAAAAGGCTGCCGGCAAGAAACTGCACGAGAAGGAGCTTCAAATAGACAACATTAACCGCAAGAACAAGGAGTTGGAGGATAGAATAAAGCAAGTCACCATAGAAGCACATTCGTGGCACAACAAAGCAAAGTACAACGAGTCGATCGCCAATGTATTGAAAAACAATATTCATCAGCTCATGGCACAAGGCACGAATGCCCATAATCGTGAAGGCTTTGGGGATAGTGAGGTGGATGATGCCATCTCTTGCATGAAACCTCCAGAAACTGTTGGTGACTGTGGCGAAAAACGGGAATTAGAAAATAAACGGCTAAAATGCAGAGCCTGCAAGAGTAGACAGGTCAGCGTTTTGTTGTTCCCTTGCCGGCATTTGTGCCTGTGCATGGACTGTGAGGGACTCGTGGATGCTTGCCCCGTTTGCCAGGTGATGAAAACTTCTAGTTTTCTTGTGTACATGTGATGTGAATTCGCCCGAGACATTTATTTGTTGTCCTCTTTCTCTTTGCCATTTGTGTTTCTTGAATGGAATAATGTGTATTTTATCATGAATTGTTTGTGGATAAATTATTGATCTTTGTGTGGAATGGAGTTGATTTGTTCATCCTTTGTGTTGTTTTTGTTTAGTAACTAACAAACACGATTCGTGCTGTTTTTTGTTCCTTGTTCGCCTTCGTTAGTTCTTGATTTACTCTGTAAAATACTTTGCTAGGTGGTGAAATTGGTTCCATCTTAATGTGCACTTCCTATACATGGAAGATTTTGTGATCTTTCAACCAAACACCATTGAATATGCCATGCAGATTTTCTCTCATCATTTTTCCACTGCCAATTCTATTACTACATCAGATAAAAATAAACATCAGCATGTGTGTAAATTGCAGAAAATATGAATATTTTTATGTCAATATTATACATGAGCCAGGATTATAAATGCAGTATGACTCCTATTCTTGAAAATGGAATGCTGTGTTTGATTGCCATTATAAAAAGATTAAAGATATATGTATAGACAAGTACAACAAGCAGGAAAACGAGCACATAAAAAATAATAAAATATCATGGTACAAAAAAGCTGTATTATTTTAAATTTTTTAGTTCTTCCATTTTTTTTTCTTTTATTGTAAACTTTTTTTTTTTTTGCACGTTTTTATTGTAAACTTTAAATACACTGCTTTTATATTTTGTTATCTGAAATGATTTTAGAGGGTTGAGAGTAGTAAGTTATGTTTGGTTGGTCTGCTAATTTTATTTTATTATAGTGAACACTACCTAACTTTAGGTTATTTATATTCCAGCAAGCATCAGTCTTCACTCCTCACCAACCTTTCATTTCAACAACAAAAGACAAATTATTATTGTTCACATGAGAAATTTCATGTCCTTCTTTTGGATTGTCTGCATTTTACCCTACTGAAATTGAGTAGAATATGTTAAAGAATCTTAATTTAAGGACTAAAACAATATTATCACAACATTGAGCAGAAAACAAGAATAGTGATGTTAATATGTTCAAAAAATATTATCACAACATTGAGCAGAAAACAGAAATAGTGATGTTAATATGTTCAAAAAATATTATCACAACATTGAGCAGAAAACAGGAATAGTGATGTTAATATGTTCAATATTAATGCTCTTTTATCCACGGTGAACACATGTTAATATGTCCACCGCTTATGTGACATGCACACAATAGTGATGTTAATATGTTCAAAAAATACATCACCGATGTGTCAATGCCACATAAGCAGCGGTGGACATACTAACATGTGTCCATCTTTGATAGGAGAGCATTACTCTGAACGGATCAATACCTTTTTTTTTTTGTTTTTTTATTTTTATCGAACGATAGGCATTCTCTTCATAAAATAAAAGACGGCTCAATACCTGAATTTACAAATTTGGTACCCTAGAATTCTTGAAAATACCAAGAATACCCCCGCACACACTGCCACCAACTCCCACTCCTTTCTTAACTCACATACACCTGTACATTTTCTTGTCCTCTCGACGGAGCCTCCAACTTTCTCTTCTCCACTTTCTCTCTCTTGATCTGGGAGCGAGGAAGAAGATGCAGGGCTCAACCGTTGCATTTTCATCGTCTTTCTCTCTCTCTACCCGCCCTCGCAAGCTCCTCCTTCGAAGGTTCGACTCCCTTTCCGGCCAGTCCTCGGCGCGCCGCCCTTTTAGCAATGGCTCCGCCGTCTTCTCGTCGTCTGGAAAGTTGAGCCCGATTAGCATCTCCCTGAATCAGAGAGGGTGGGTTTCCGGGCCCAATCCCGGAATTCCGGAGCCCGAATCTGATCGGTTCGTGGTGCCTCGGGCCGCGGCGGAGACGGCGGGCCCGGATGAGACCTCGAAGTCGAAGGGTTTGAGGGATACGTTGGTGCTCGGGACGCTTTTCGGGCTTTGGTACCTGTTTAATATCTACTTCAACATCTACAACAAGCAGGTGGGCATTTTTCCGTGTTCTTTGTTTCGTTTTTGGTTTTGTTTTATGGCGATCGAAAATATCTTTTTTTTTTCCTGATGGGTAGGTTTGTTGTGCTTAACTAGTTGATTTGCTCTGTGTTTGAGGGAGATTAGTTCGGAGATCTGCTACAACAAATTTATCTTTTTTCTTTTGGTGATCTGTGAATAATGGGGTTCTTCCAATTTTGTCTAATTTGTGTAGTTTTGTTTCCAAATTTAAGATGAAATTAAAAAAAAAAAAGTTTGAGTAATGGTGATTTAGTTGAAGTTAGTCACTAGCATTTGTTGCCTTTGAATGTTGTGTTTTCCCTAAAAAATGAGCAAACTTTTGTTGATTGGCCCATTCAAAATTTCCATTTTTAATGAGGAAATAAGTTTTTGGTTGTCCAGAAATGTATTGGTAGCAATTGTTCATGGATAAAGGAAGCATATTGTACGATCATGTTTTGTTTGAATTTTCATTTTAAATTAAAATAATTTCCTTGTTAATTGTGCTTGGTAGCACCCTTCAAGTACTGATATACGGCAATTTTTTTTTTTGTTAACAATAGGTTCTGAAAGCCTTTCACTACCCAATGACAGTCACTCTTGTCCAATTTGCCGTTGGTAGTGTGCTTGTGACTCTAATGTGGACATTAAACCTCTACAAACGTCCTAAAATCAGTGGAGCACAGGTACTTGGTTCACAGGGACACGTTTCAAAAGTTCATTCACTCATTCTAATTATCATGGGAATTAATTATAGTATTATAATAAATTTTCGGCAGCTTGTTGCTATTCTTCCATTGGCATTGGTGCATACCTTAGGCAACCTCTTCACAAACATGAGTCTTGGAAAAGTTGCTGTTTCGTTCACTCACACCATTAAAGCTATGGAGCCTTTCTTCTCAGTTGTTCTATCTGCTATGTTTCTCGGGGAGGTGAATAATCCATGTACTTCATGTCTGTTGGTTTTCGACATTGATATCTTCATAAGTTGGCACATGCATTTTTTTCCCATTTGTTAAAATGCTGGTGACTGAAACTGTTATTTTTGTTAATTTTATTCATCACGGAAAAAATGAATGGTGGTATAGTTATTATCCTTGTTCTGTTTTAAAAGTGTTAATTATTGAAATGGACTCACTATATTATGAAAATAATATTATTTAGGTTATATTTAGAAAAAAGTCCTTGTTTTTTAGAAGAATTACAAATTACCAGCAATCGTTCATGTTATGAGAAACCTTTATATTCATTTTAGTGTCTACAAATTTGACCTTGTTGGTCTTTGTTAAGGATATAGACACATCTAGGTGATGCTTGTGTTTTTTATTTTTAGGATACTTTGGTTTTATTGTTATTAGGCCAAAGTTTTTTCTGTCTGTACCTTCTTGTTAGTTTGTTACACAAATGCCATTAGTTTTTGTTGCCCACACTTGCATTTATTTATTTATTTATTCTTTTGCTTGAAATAAAATCTCTCTGGTGCAGTTTCCTACACTATGGGTAGTTTCGTCACTTCTGCCAATTGTCGGTGGAGTAGCTTTGGCATCAATGACTGAGGCCTCTTTCAATTGGTAAAGAACCACAACTCGTTGCTTTCAGTCGATTTCTCTTTACTGTCATCTTAATTTGTTTGCCTACGGCTGCTCTTCAAGATTACCTCACGGAATTTGTATTATCGTTGATTTGTTAAAGGGCCGGTTTTTGGAGTGCCATGGCATCAAATTTGACAAATCAGTCACGGAATGTCCTCAGCAAAAAGTTCATGGTCAAGAAAGAGGTAAAATTTGTTTTTTTCCTAAGTGGTTTTTATGTGTGCCAATCTTTGCGGAATATTCTGTTTTGCCCGAAATTTGTGAACATAACCCCTTTTAGGATTTAATCAATTCTTCTAGGAGTTCTGTTAAGCACTGAGGAGAAATAAATAGTCAGCTTATTTTGTCTTTTAATTTCATTTTGATATTTGTGCTTCAAGAGTTCTCTGCATGCAGGAGTCCCTTGACAACATTACCCTCTTCTCCATAATTACCATAATGTCCTTCTTCATGATGGCTCCTACTGCCATTTTCATGGAAGGCATCAAGTTTACACCTTCATATCTTCAAGCTGTTGTAAGTAAATCTGAAACTAGAAAATTGCCTTTTCATTTATAAGGTTATTCTGCTCCTTCCTGAAACAATGTTTCATTTTCAGTCTGTTTGTTTCTTTGGCAATAATAATAAAAGATTACTTTTTTTTTTTTTTTTTGTTTATATTTATAGGGAGTGAATGTTAACCAGCTTTACACTAGATCGCTTCTAGCTGCCCTCTGTTTCCATGCATATCAGCAGGTAAGCTTTGAAATAGCTTTTGTTGTGCATAAAGTTTGTAATCTACTTTCATATATTTCAAGTGGACATTGGACAATAATGTACATTTTGTATCAAAGCCTTCTTCGATACATATATGCATTCCGTACTGCATTCTTGACGATATGCAAACGGATATCACTAGTTATCCGGTACGCTGAAATTGGTCCGAGTCTCAAGTTTCATATTATTTTCCTTGACTCAATCACTGAAAAATATTACAAAATTCGAGTCCACTGTTTGGTATTAAAGATTCTAGCAACTTTAACCGTGCCTGAACTTAAAAAATGAAAAAAGAAAAAGAAAGAAACTTGGAACCATCCATCCTTCTTTGTAAGGTAAATGCAAACCTAATATTTGGAATCTGATAAGGGCTTGATGGGTTTGGCACAATGGAAAATTATATTATATGAAAGGCGATGGGGTTATTAAATTCACTGACCTCTCGTCCATTTTCTATTTGGCCAAAATTATTTCTGATTGGAGTTTGTTTGGACAGGTTTCTTACATGATATTGCAGCGTGTGTCTCCTGTTACTCATTCCGTGGGCAACTGTGTTAAGCGCGTTGTAGTAATTGTCACCTCTGTTCTCTTCTTCCGCACGCCTGTTTCACCTATCAACTCTTTAGGTATAACAATATTTTTCAATCTTTTATATTTATTTATTTACTTTGTTTAATTCCTTAGAAATCTGAGTCTTCCAAGTATGAAAACCCAGGGTTCTGCATTGATTACTAGTATATACTTTGTAAATTTTTTCTCTTCGTACTTCGACAAACTTCAAGGTTGCTGAAGAAAAAAGTTATAAGATAGTTCATTTCAGGTTAATTAAATCTCAATTCTCATTGTCTCATACTGAGTTCCTCTGGTACAGGTACGGGTATAGCCCTTGCTGGAGTATTCTTGTACTCGAGAGTGAAGCGGATCAAACCAAAGCCTAAGACAGCTTAAGAGTTTTTTTTTTATTCAGAAGACATTTTTGTTGATGATCATCATTTCTTATTCTGTTAAGACTAGTAAACAATTGTGAGCGTCTTGTATGCTGTTAAGTCTAGGGTGATATTTTTCTTGGTTTTTGTCTTGTATGCTGTTAAGTCTAGGGTGATATTTTTCTTGGTTTTTGTTACTTCTCCGTAGTATGTCCAATTTTTTTTTTTTCTTCTTCAATGGAATATATTCATATATTTTAGTTGCAAATGTGCGGGTCTTATTATACACGTTTATCTTTTTCACTCGTGGTTAAGCTTGATAGGCCATTGTTCAACTCTCACTGAGGAATGTAGATTATATTTTGAGTTGGTGATTATTGAATTCCCTCGTCCAGAAAACAGGAGTCCAAATATAACTAATTGTTTGTATTAGTTCAGGGGTACTTTTTGTTACTATACTGCAGTGAATGAAGTACAAAGCAAACACAAAGAGCAACTGAATTAAATCATGTCCAAAAACCAACAAAAACAGTAACATATAAAACAAAAACAAAAGCTAAGCACATCACCACACAACCAGAATTTTCAAACAAAACCAGAAGAAGACTTGTCCAACAAAACCGAAAAAACACCACGAACAAATCACACAGTCACGTCACGGAACTCTCGGCTTATTGTCCCAAATCTCTCTCGCCTCCAGCAAATGCGGACAGTATCTTTGAGCCAAGATCTCAACTTGCTCCCCAAACGGCTTATGCTGCCCATTTCGCCCCAAATGCATAACCATCTGATTCCAACGCCTTCGGCAAACATCTCCACTCCTTCCTTCCACTACACCATCCCAATCCACATCCTCCATGCAAGTCGCATCCAGGCTATAAAGCCCACCAATCAACCGATAATCATCCATATCAGTCCACAATCCTTCGGCCACCATTGATGAGGTCAGCTGGTTATACCACTTGATACAGCAAACCGCCTGAGAACGTGTCGTCAGCTCATCGCTAATCGTCGTCCAGCAGATATTGTCACGTAGCATCCCGTACTTGGATTTTTTTTCCTCTTGAAGTTTCGCCTGAAGGTCAATGTTCACGAGGTCAAACAACTTCTGGTACTCGTCCTGTGACCACTGCCCTTTCTTGGTGTTGGCCGTTTTTATCCTCCGCCACGTGTCCTTCACGTGAAACCTGTGCTTGCCGAGCTCGTCTGCCAGCTTCTTCCACTGATTGCCGTGCTCCTCGTAGAACTTAAGGACCTGTTCATACTCTTCCTCAGTCCACTTCCGAGTCTCGGATCTCCGGAATAGAATCTGTGCACGGTAGTATACGGCCGTGTAAGGTCTGTACGGAATGGCGGACCCAATCTCTTTCCAACAGCCCTTCACACTGGGGTGCTTTTTACAATTGAGCACCATGTCCAGACCCTCTTCACCTAAGTCGTGACTAAATATGTAATCTTTAACAGCGGCTTTGACGATTTCATCCTCTTCAGGCGTGAACCGCTTACCTCTAACCAGATCACCACCATCAACATTGACTCTTGAATTGCCTGGAAGGGGAAAAACATCAACCTGATTAGAAAATCGAACTTTCTTGTTACTTGTATTGGGTGTAGCATCATCACTTGACCCGCTCTCCACTGATTTGGTCTTTTTCTTTTTTCCTTTCTTCTCATGTGCAGAACTATTATCTCTTAACTCCACAGAACCATCTTCCTTTGCTCGAATATGTTTCTTCTTCTTCTTTTTGGTTGCATATTCTTCCTTGTTACTTTGCATATCGTCAGTATGCATACAAACACTGGTGTCAGTTTGTGCGTAATCTTCCTGAGCAGCACGTAAATCCTCCTTACCATGTTCTTTCTTTTTCTTCTTTTTTTCCTTCTTTTTCTCGAGTTCCTCTGTGGAATCGCCATCATGTTTATTCGACCCAATCTTTTCCTCAACATTATCTGGCACCTGTAGCGCCGCAGAAGGAAAATCACCCTCGTCATATTTAGCTTCACCAGAAATGTCACGACACCAATTGTCATCCTTTCTATCTTTTTTCTCCTTCTTCCTTTTATTCCTTCCAACCTTCTCTGCATCTTCACCCTCCAAAATCTGAAAATGTTGCCCAAACTCTTTTTTCTGTTTTTTTCCCTCCCTCTCAGAGTCTTGATCGTCATGTTTTCTCTTAGATTTCTTCTTCCTCCTCCTCTCTTCATTATCATCTTCAGAACTCTTTCGTTCAAAATTACTGTCTCTGTCCACATTTTTTCCAACCTCACTTCCCTGAGCTTCTTTAATATTGCTCATCTCGATTTCGCTCAACCCCCGGTTCTTGTTCTTGATTTTCTTCCTTTTCTTTTCAACCTCTCTGTCCATAAATGGGGAGGATGGGGCTGTTGAAAGTTGAAACTACAATATGGGAACAAAAATACTCAATTTGCAGCAGTTTCTTTTCAGACTACAATCTAGGAGAAAAAAAAATAACATGGAACAACGATTGGAATTTGTTAACCAAATAAATCAAGTTTAAATATACCATTTAACCAAATATTCAAAGTCCAAACCCCATTTGCAGCAGTGCCAGTTTTAGGAGGAATGGAGGATGGACAGGCTTTGAGTAGAAAGCCAATAGCTCAAAATGTCGATTAAAAGCATTCAAACTATGTTTCATTCTGAATTAGGGTTAAAAAAAAAAAAATAAGTCACAAATCTCACTCTAAATAGAAGAAAATCACATATCACATCAATCACAGGCCTTTGAAAATAGAAGAAAAACACAGAAACAACATAATTCAGCCGCAAAACATAAAAATAAACCATTTGAAAACATATCGAATTCAACTGATAAAATTTCACAAAATTCATGCGAAGACATTGCACTTGCATTCGATTTAAAATCTTACATGTAAATATGAGAAAACTAATCGCGTAGGCTTTAAAGAGGTGGCGGAGGTAGGCGGCGGCGGGCGGCAGGATTTTTCTTTGCCGGAGTTGGTTGGTATTGAGCAAGACGGAGATCCGTGCGCATTGAGATGAGTTTTTAGTGCGTCAATTTACAAAATGGGCCTTCAACATATAGTTTTGGGCCTTACTACTTGGGCCATCTTTTGGGTAGCTAAGTAACTCTTGGTACAATATTGGTTTTTCCATAGATAAAAATCTTATCCTTTTTCTTTTTTTTTTTTTTTTATATTAACATAACATGATTTAAGATTTGTCTGTTCTTCTCAACAAAACAATGGCGGTTTCACTACACTCCACAGCATGCTTGCTGAGGATGCACTTAAGGCTGCCGTTAAAGATTACATGTCAAAACGATCAAAATCAACTGGGAGTTCTAAAGCTACCTCAGTTGGCAAACTTGCTGATGCTTGAGAAAGTGCCTCGGCAATTTTAACAGCTGTTGCTCAACACTTCTTTATGTGATTATTTAGCTTGATGATTATTGTTTAGTGTTTTTTTTGTTTTATGTACTCGTTCCTCTTAACGTAATGTTCTTGGGGGATGATACCAGTCGACTATAAATTGAATCTCTCTTTTCGATCGTTCTTGAGAAACTCCGTGATTGTCAAAATGGATTTCAATTCTTGTGAAAGCTTATTTTTTAAACAGCATGTTTTTCTTGTGTTCAATATGAGGTCGACGAGAGGATGGTTCTTTTTTATTAATAATATATCCTGGATTTTGGATATTATAAAGAAGATGGGGTTGTATGTTGCAGTACAAGAAATGTAATGATATGGTAAAAGAATCAACTATCTTACAAATCAGCTCATCTATTGTGCCATTGACATAACTTGAATGAAAGAATAGGGTCAAAAGAATTGTAATCAGCGCACAATTGAAAAAAAAAAAAAAAAAGTTAGACGAATCAGACTACAACTCGACGAGGCCAATAATAGACCACCTCATCTAATTCAAATTTTCTTCTTCCTTCTTCAACATTTTCTCTTTCAAATGGAACCTTCCTAGTTGGATGAGCATCACGCTTACGTCATCAATAGATCCTCTAGAAACCGAGAGGTCGACAAGCTTTTTACACGCTAATAACGGCTGAGGCCTATCGACATTTATACACAGGGGCCGGGCGATGTCTACTGCTTCCTGATTACTCACCTGTAGTAAAATTCAATACGAAAAAATCAGCAACCAATAAAAGAAAAAAAAAAGAAGTTAAAAAATGAAGAAACATCCTTTCCTCCAAACCACAAACCAAAATCAAGCAGTTTTTCTCAATTTTCAAGTACCTTATCCCATAATCCATCAGAAGCAAGGAGAAGGAACTCGTGTTCTTGCTCAAGTTTAAGGATTTCAGTCTCTGGCTCTGCTGTCACCCATTGTTTAAGATATTGGTCCCCAATGCTTCTAGAAACAGCTAGAGACCCTAATACTCTCCAAACTCCATTGCGTGGTTCTACAAAACCTCCCTGCAATAAACCAGCGATCGATCCACTAAGCCCGTTTCAATAAAAACACGATATAACAAGCTTCCCAAACTTAAACTCTCATTCAAGCTATTGTCATTGGTTAAGGATATTTTTGTGCTTACCAACATCTCGATTCTGTTGCGCTCGTCTTCTCTAGACGGACGGTGATCGGAAGTGAGGGCCTCGGCAACCCCATCTCGGCTTATTACTGCACGACAATCGCCAGCATTGGATACTACCAAATTCCCTTTTGCGATTAGTGCCGTCACGCAGCATGTCCCGCCTCGAATGTCCATCTTGAGAAATTCCGAGTCGGTGGTCAAGTAACCACCCTTAATGGCTAGCTCGATTTGGCTGTCATCATCTTCCCTTGCATTAAGTTGTTCTAGAATGTTCTTGTCTAAGTTCTCGGCTGCAAACTCGGCAGCCTTTGTGCCTCCGTGCCCGTCAAAGATACCAAAGAATGCCTGCACCATGATACCCAGAAAAATGAGCACCCTTTATTGTATTTCTGAATTTAAATGCTCATTTACATTAATGAAACATCACATAAAATAGACACAATTTTATATCTATAGACTTCTTCCACAAGAAAACCGTCGATGTTAGTTCCAAAAATCGACTGCATGATGTCATTTTTAAGCTAAAAAAAATACCCTCTATCAAAAATTTTAACAAGCTACAACACAAGAGCACACAAACAACTACTTAGTTCAAACAATTACTGCAAGATGTCATTTTTAAACTCAAAACATACCCTCTCTCGGAAGCATACACACAAATATTGATTCACATCCTCTAGAATGGAATTGAACTTCAGTAACATTCATAAACTCCAAATCCAAACACTGATTATCAGCAACCCAATATACAAAACAATAGAACAACAGATCAGAATTTTCTAGATAAAAAAAAAAATATATATATAGAATTAGAAATTTACCTGCTTGGGATCACCTTGAAACCCTAAAACAGCAGAGTACCTATCCTCCATCTCCTCTCTCTTCCCCCTCTTACAGCAGACCGAATATCCCTCTCCCTCCGCCTCCACCACCTCCTCCTGAGCCGCCGCTGCCGACTTTTTCTCCTCCCCTAGAGACACCGCCGGGATATCCAGCCTAGGCGGCCTTTTCCGCTTTAAAACCGCCGTCGCCGCTGCGGACGACTCAGATCCACCGGCCAAAGCCTTGATGAGCCCACCGATCGGCTTGTGGAGCCGAAAGAGGCGCGGGGAAGAAGAGTTGGGCGAGCAGATGGATGATGAGGAGGACGACGGCGAAAAGGCCGGCGAGTTTGATATCGCCACTGCGCAAGAAGACATTTTTTTTTTTTCTCTTTTGTTTTCCGAACGTTTGTTGTTGTTGTTGTTGTTTTAATTTGTCCAACGTTCGAATTTGTGGTGTTTGGGTCCTTTTTATAGTGAGGCCCGGGCTGAAGGCTGACTGGTCAATTGGGGAAATCCGTGTTATTTTAAATACTCTTTTTTTTATTATTATTTTATTTCTTTTCACTGTAAATTCCGTGTTAATACCTTTTTTCTTCTTGGATGAGTTGGCTGTTAATAGCCAGTTTATTGTATACTGTCTCTAAGTATTATATTTTATTTGTATTGTTTTTCAGAGTGTACATTATAATTTAAAAGTGCGAATATATGTTGAAAAAGTATAATTAACTAATCGTTAGATATGTACAACGAGAGAATCGTCAGAATATAAATAGAGTTCTCTATAATTAAAGTTGTTGATGAACTTTTTAAATATAGAGTTGATAAAAGGCTCGTTAAATAGGACTCTTTAAAAATTAAAGTCGAGTTTAACAACCTTAGCTTTTGAACATATTTATTAGACTTATAGTGACATAAGTGATGATGATTTATAATTTGACACAATAATATATGTAACGATCGTAACAGTTACGTTATACTTCAAATCACTTTTGAAACGAACACGTTATTTTTTTGTCTTACAGGAATGATGAGATTATTGAAATTGTAGATGATTTAAATCAACGATGTAATATTAATTTAAACATTTAAAAAACAACATATATATATATATATATATATATATATATATAT